TTTAGCTACCAATCTACAGATGTAGATGTACAGCGTCATAACACTGATGTTTGGAAGAAGAAGCCCCACCACGAGAACAACGCTGTAGAAAACTTTGCATTCCAACTTGTTCCTATCATCGTAGCTACAGTATTCCATCTCTTCGCTTTGACCATTGACTAATGTTGTCTGTACAACTGCCGTTACAGAGCCCAAAACTGGGAGCCGCTGCTATAAGCCCACAGATCAGGAGAGCTCCTCCGAATGTAGCTAGCTGGTATCTTTTCTTTATGTAGTAGAAATGAGAGAGAGGGAAGGTTATGAAGATACTCCTTACCCCTGTAATGATCAGAATACTGTATCCAGGCAGTAGAAGAGCGAATGTTTGAAGACCTTGCTTTATCTGACATCTAGATTCTGTTTCTTCAGGGTCCAATAGTTCAGTTATCCAAGAAACTGAGAGAACCATCAGAAGAAGTAGCTGTGACATTATGTAGAACAACACAGAGAGATAAATGTTCAGCAGTGGTCTAAAGCGTTTGAAGATGATGTAGAAAGCCAAAGCACTGAAGATAACCAAAGCAATGTAGCTGGGGAAGGAGAAGCCCATACTAAGAGGGAGGTTGTGTTTAAAAGGGTTCGGAACGGGAGGTCCGGGTGGAATTACCGGTGCAGTTAGCCACTTCATCTCTGTAGGATCTGGCGGTATCGGAGGAGATGGTGTCGGTATCGGAGGAGATGGGTGGGGTGGTGTCGGTATCGGTGGTGGTGGAGGCTCCATTCTGAGAAATGTTTAGGGTTCATATAGGACTATAGTGTCATCTCCATGGTATGGTTAAAATGTGACTGTAACATTCAATTGGATCAAATCAAGGAAAAAGGTCAAGATAGAATTGTTATCAAAATTATCTTCTTTTCACAGTATTAGTACACTTTAGCACGAACCAGCCAAACACGGGCTTATTGAATAAAATTTAGGAGAAAATAGGCCAGATATTTCAATTCTAATAAACGTATGTGACATGTAAATTGAAAAAATGGAACACAATATGTTTACATAAATTTCAAATTCAATTCAAAATGTGTATAGAAGTTTCCATTGTGTAAGCGCTAAGATATTGCTACTGATATACATAAAATAGCCACAATACTCTAATCTACTTTCCGCAAAAACTTTGTGCCGGTTCCACGAGACAATGTGTAAGTTTAAAAAGACGACATAGTACCTCGTTTAGAATCCGATATTGCATGAACATTTACCGTTTGCATACTGGCAATATTACACATGGCACTAAAAACGTAAAGGCTTCTGTCTGTTTTGGCCCAAAGTTTCAAAGAAAAACATCAGGGATGAACAAAATAATTGTTAATTAGTTATGATTTGAATATATCACACATAATGCCTATATAGTGTATATTGTATACTGTATACACTACATTGTACATTGTACATTGTACATTATACACTATACACTGTACACTATTATACACTGTACATTATATACTATACACTGTACACTATACACTATACATGTACATTATACACTATACACTGTAAACTATTACACACTGTACATTATATACTATACACTGTACACTATACACTATACACTGCACATTATGCACTATACACTGTATACACTATACACAATACAGGTATATGATATAATGATTGATCTGATTGTGAATAGATCGGACTGCTTTGCCTGAGAATTTGTTCTGTATAAAGAAGGAACCTTCACCCCTGAAAGCATAGGGGGATTGTTTACTATCCGACCAAGCACCAGAGACGTTATGAGGTTTGAAATGTGACAACACAGATTGCTGGAAGGTGAAACATTGATAGAGCAAGTTAATGTGAGCTTGAAAATACAACCCATCATCACGCCGTCGAATTAAACAAGATATGCTATACATAAATCTAATTATAATTGACATTAAAAGAGACAATATCTACGAACAAATACCAATATTCAGTAATATCAGCTCTCTAAAAAATCACTTGAACTACGAAAAAAACACACGTAACTAGTGAAGCGAGCTGCGGTCTTGAGATCTCATTAAAGAACTGAAATGATCCGAGTTTTTGTGCTTGTGGGTCTCCCTTATTAATTTATCTATTGAGAATAGGCTGTGTGTGTCAGAAAATAGACATGTCTTCTCGTTTCATTTTGTTTCTTTTGAGAAATTGTCCGATGTTGAGCCAGTCTTTTCATTTGGGAATTCAGAGGTTAGGCTGAGATACCTTTCGCATCGGATAATCTACATCAGTTTTTGGTATGCCTCAATTTACGAAATCAGTTCGTTTAACAAGTCCCCTTTTTAAAGGGTCTGTAGTAGTAAATCCAAAATTGCGTACATTAATGTTTTTAACTCTACGAGATCTGAAAACAGTCGACTCATCTAGCTAACGAAAATTAACACATGTTATTTGAAAGCTTCCGAAAGAGAAAAAAAATTTGTTTTACTAAAACATGTCCAAAAACTATTCCAGCTAGTTTCTTTTCTATTAGTCTATCGTCTGCAGCAATCTTTCGCAGACTTTAACATTTTAACAAGCTCTTTCAACATAGAGTTAGTGGTTAGAAGATATACCAAGGGAGAACATCCAATCAGGATTTGTAGCACTGAGTAGAAAACATCAAATATATATGACAGTTTCTCTCCTTCTGCATGCATTTCAGTTATCTCCACAGTGTATACGATCATCCCAGCCCAGGGTAGCGTGGTGGAAAGACAAACAGCTAGGATTGCTACTATCGACCAAGGAATAGTTCTTTGCTCTGTCATTGCCTTTGTTTCTTTGATTGAAGTTGTTGAGGATTCGGTAAGGCTACGATGGGTTTCTTTAGCTTTAGCTGCCAATCTACAGATGTAGATGTAAAGCGTAATAACACTGATGTTCGGAAGAAGAAGCCCCACCACGAGAACAACGCTGTAGAAAACTTTGCATTCCAACTTGTTCCTATCATCGTAGCTACAGTATTCCATCTCTTCTCTTTGACCATTGACTAATGTTGTCTGTACAACTGCGTTACAGAGCCCGAAACTGGGAGCCGCTGCTATAAGCCCACAGATCAGGAGAGCTCCTCCGAATGTAGCTAGCTGGTATCTTTTCTTTAAGTAGTAGAAATGAGAGAGAGGGAAGGTTATGAAGATACTCCTCACCCCTGTGATGATCAGAATACTGTATCCAGGCAGAAGAAGAGCGAATGTTTGGAGACCTTGCTTTATTTGACATCTGGATTCTGTTTCTTCAGGGTCCAATTGTTCAGTTATCCAAGAAACTGAGAGGACCATCAGAAGAAGTAGCTGTGACATTATGTAGAACAACACAGAGAGATAAATGTTCAGCAGTGGTCTAAAGCGTTTGAAGATTATGTAGAAAACCAAAGCACTGAAGATAACTAAAGCAATGTAGCTGGGGAAGGAGAAGCCCATACTAAGAGGAGGTTGTGTTTAAAAGGGTTTGGAACGGGAGGTCCCAGACCTTGTCTAGTTGTCCGGTGAGGTGGGGTTGGATACTGCGATGTTGCCCATGTTGGTGGAGGTGGCCAGGTGGGTGGGGTTAGAATGAGGTTACAATAGTTTCAAGTTCTGGTGGTGTTGGAAGTGTTGTATTAGCCATGATTCTGCAAAAGATATCATTGATTAGTTTTAGAAGCATACAAATATATAACATTATATGAAACTAGCAGTTACCACCTGGATATGCTAATTGCACTACTTATAACAGAAAAGCTATGGGACGTCCGGTTATTCTTTTTCTCACGCATTCATCAGCATAGATCAGACTGGTATTCTCGTATTGCATTGGGTATCTTTCACTTGTTCCATCAACACCCAAATAACAGAACGAAATATTCTGGCTAACAATTCACGCCCATTTACAATCGTCATATTATAATATTCATCTTTCTCCCTTGCTGTCAAATAAGGGACGTAGGCGGTACCGCGACAATTGACCCCCCCCCCCCCCCCGACAACTGACCCCCCGATAATTGACCCCCTATGTAATTACACTGGGGTCAATTGTCGCGAAATCTAGGGCTTAGTACGACAATTGACCCCCCGACAATTGACCACCTATGTAATTACACTAGGGTAAATAGTCGCGAAATCTAGGGCTTAGTACAGCAATTGGTTAGGGTTAGGGTTAGGGTCGGGGGGTCAATAGTGGGGGGTCAATTTTCGCCCACTCCACTTTCTCCCTTGCTGTCAAATAAGGGACGCTTAATTAATACCAGTCACGAGACAACTTCTCATTCTGGTATGTATAAAACTATGGATCTTCGTTGTCCAGCAGATTATGAATAAAGTCTCATTACAATTAGTCCGAAGGTGAGAAATCAACTAGAAATGTACTAGCAATCATAATACTGATGACAAAGGAACCTTTCACTCTTTTAATTTGTCGGAACATCTGCTACCAATTATTTACAGCTGTAGTCTCCACAAGTGAGAATCAATTTCTAATTCTTAAAATTCTATTAGAAGCCTTGAAAGAATGCTTTTGTTTACAGCTGTAGTCTGTATAGAATGCTTTTGTTTCGTGGTATTAAACAAAAAGCTCGCATATTTATCAGTAAAGTATTTGTAGACATCAGTCTTCTCGCTTCCGCTCATGATTTAGTCTATTATTAAACACCTCCCTGGTTGAGGACAGAGATTTAGAGAAGCAAAGTTTCGTTGAAGAAATAGCAGTGCACTACACGTGCCATTAGTTCTAAAATCATACTACTAGTTATATTAGTAGCATTATTACTATTACTACCACTAGTATTAGTAGCATTATTACTATTACTACTCACTATTCTAAATAAGCTGTTTATACACACCTGACTGATTGGACCGGTGGGCTGCATAAGCTACATTCACTGTGTAGTGACCCCCCCCCCCCTCCCTACACTGCATAAGCTGTCCTTCACTCGTGGAGTTACAATGTGAAATGTAACCCCCCCCCCCCCCCACCTGGCCTTAACAACTTCCTGATTGTTCTGTAACCCCAGCTGATATTTCAGGCGTGTAGCGGAACAGCGTCATTTCGAGGCGGCTGAGAGGCGGCGACTACTAAACTCACAACAGCTCAAGAAAGCGGCTGTTATACGTGATAAGTGCTACAGAAGCAAGAAGACTAAAACAAACGGTACTGATGATTATATTATCAATGTTCACCTATTATGAGAGGTTTTACTAACATTTTATTTTCCTTCTCAGTTGATTCACTTAATTATTAAGTTGGAATTTGCTCGAGCGATTAAGTACAGTAACTATTTGTCTAATGTCCTTGTTCAATTGAAACTGGTAGCGTAGAGTTAAACAGTAGTTAACTCACGAACATTATATATACCAAAACTGGCAGTTGTCCGGCCGAACTGCCCTAGCACTTACAAGCGATTACATCACTTTAATCTAATCTAATCTAAATAATCAGGGGGAGGGTAGTTAAGTCACAAATGTTGCATCTCTTTGTTGCTTGCGTCAATCCTCATGGCAACCTGCTATCGTCATGGCAACTTTCTATTGTTATTCATGTCACGCCCGACCTCGCTACAATGGGAACAACGATTATTCTGTCTTGTAGATATTAATATGGAAATTAATCTGAATTTGCCGAGTTTAATGCAAATACAAATTATAGGCTTTGTCCTCTACTCGGACTTTAATTTAGGATAATGAGGATACTTGGGTAAGGTTTTGATTATTCAATTTATACTAACATACAAGCCAATAATTTACTAAAATGATCTTATGAAATCGTGACAACAGATAAGTGAGGTAAGTAATATCGTAAAGATGGCTAATACTCCACTGTCCACCAGCTGAATCAAAACATATCCCGTGCTTATAATAAAGCAGGGGTCAAATATTAATCTAACTTTTCAGTGTAGTATTTCTAACTGTCAAACTAACCCCCAGGTTACGGTAACTTTACAGACCGGAGAACTCCCTCCCCTCCTCCCGGTCCCCTCCCCACCGCTATCTCCCTCCACAGCTCCCTCAACTACAGAGTAAAGTCAGCTATGAGCTTCACCGCACCTGGCGCCCCTCCTTCTCCTGTCCTCTCCAGGTCCCAGTCTAGTAGTGCCACGCACATCACAGAGACTCCCTCTCCAGTATTAGCTAAAGCTGCTGTGTTAAGGAATGCTAGCGAACTCTTCCTGTGTTACAGTGCTGCTGCTACAGCTAGTGTGGGCTAGGTTACCATAGTTACCATAGTTACCATAGTTACACTAGGCATTGCACAGCTATATAGTGTGGGCTATGCATTGTACAGCTAGCGTGGGCTAGACATTGCACAGCTATATAGTTACCATAGTTACACTAGGCACTGCACAGCTAGTGTAGGCTAGGCATTGCTATTATTCACTTTCTCTTTACACATGTTGTTTTTTGCAGTCGGGCGTGAGGTTTCCGTATCAATGATGTCTTCAACTGATCAGAAGTTTTCTTAATTAATACGTATAACAGTCTACCAACAATTTGATCTTTGAAAATATGGGAATTGTTGCATAATGCACTTAAGCATTTTTGTTTTGGATTGTTTGGAATAAACTATGGATAATATGTGATCAAAATATTTGAAATTTATCGATAAATGGGTTATGAATATTGAATATAATGTTTCTCTTAGGTTTTTTGTTAATTGTTAATTGTTACCTTAAAGCTAGATAGAGGTAATAACACTACACGAATCTACCAGGTATCACCTTCAAGTTAGATATAGGTAATAGCACTACACGAATCCACCAGTTGTCACTTTCAAGTTAGATAAAGAGGTATTTTGTCTGGTAAATATCTCCGTTAATGGCTCACCTATCTTTCCTAGCATGCTTCATCGATTATTACCCCTTCGACCTTAAATTTGTTTAATAATACCAACTCTGATAATATTTTGAATAGCCATTAATTGTCGAATTGGGGATGTGCTTCTACAGAGATACTTACTTGGATACTTTGATGAGGTTTAGCCAAAATAGTCAGGGACGTCGTGCTGGATGTTCCAGTCTAATAATGAGTTAGGGCATAATGTCGTGTAACTCGGACTTGGACATTTATCCGGAACTTTGTAAAGATACTGTCCTATAGCTGCTTCGAATGCGTTAAATCCGTTACAGTGTAATTTATGGTCTCGGGCAGAAGATTTCAAAGTTAGGTAGGTTTTACAGAGAAAGAGTTCTCATAGAGGGTCTGGACAGCTGATGGACAGCTTTTTGGGGGTTGAGGAACCTCTGCTCTCAATCCAAACCTGTCAGACGAGTGGAATGTCATTTTGTCATCAGCCTTTTTCTGGAGGATTTTCCATGTATTACTACCTCTCGCCTTCTTTGGAGTGATGGCTGATCGAGATATAATTATCTCTCCCAGTAGTCCATTTCTTGATAGCCAGATATTCTGCGTGTAAAAGGTCTTTGAATGGCTTCCAGAGTCTGGATATCTTGAACTTTGTGGGGATTCACAGGGGGAACAGTTTATGCTGGTTTCGATTGACCATTTACTAACTCTGTCGAGGTATCCTTGGTTACCATAGTTACTTGGAGGAGAGCCAGATCTCTTTCATATTCGATTGGTCTGGAAACTTTGTCGTCTGAAAAATTATTGACTTTGATTGTTGGATAGTGTTTACTATTAGTCCCAGGAACAGAAGGGACTGTTTTTCATTAACAAGGACTGTTTGGATCCTATTTTCAGAGATGAAGTATAATTAAATAGTTTAATTACTACTATTATGCATCATCTTGTGATAATATTACATAAAACCAGGGTTTCAGTTAAGAATAAGATTATAAGATAAAAATGGCAAAGTTTGCATTTACTATAATTGCAGTTCTCTATGATAATTTGTAAGCAAAAATTTCGATCAATAAAACTTGTATTGACTTTCTATTTAATAACAAACCACTGGTAGCAGGGGGATTGTCAGTGAAATGCCGTCTCATTTCTTTATATGTGGGCGATCGCTGAATTTCCCGATCCATGATAACATTTAAACGTCTAATATCATATTATTGATCATGAGAGTCATTTCTTATTTCTGTGATTTTTATCTTTGCAACCCTATCCTATGTTGTATCACGTGGTGACCCCCACTGTCGCTTCACTATAGTCTTCGACGATACAGGGGGAGCCGCACACTTCGTGCGCGGCGGGTCATACAACGTATGACAAATCCTATGGCTATGCAAGCTGACACGGATCTGTGAATGATAATTCATGATTAATTGAACAAAAAATGCGGCCACATATGTTTTGTGGATGCCTGCTTAAATTCTGATCCGTGATGCAATGGCGTATAATATTTGCCTGTTCATGAGCATGAAGATAACTGATAAGGCGGAGTGACAGGCTAGGATGACCACCACCCATTAAATCATTTTATTTATATTTTATGCAACCCTATGCTCATTGTTTATGCAAGCTGCACAGATCAGATGTAAAAATGTCATTCTTTGCGTGAGGTTGGTGTGGAACCATATTTTCTTGATCAAACCAACGCTACACTGCATGGCAACATAATACATAATAGTAATACGTGACTACCGCACAAAGTTTGCGCGCGAATAGAAGTATACACTTACAACTCGTCAATTAAGTCGACTTCTGATATGAGTATACTTCCCCTGAAAAAAGTGAGCAATATACTTGCACCAGTGCTTAGCTGCCTAGTCTCTGCGTCTCTACATCAGGGGAAGTTTCCGCATAAATTGAAAATCGCGAAAGTAGTTCCACTTCACAAAGGTGGGTCACGTGCTGAAGTTTCAAACTATCGACCTATCTCACTACTCTCATGTTTCTCAAAAATCTTTGAAAAAATTATGCAAGCGCGACTATTAGATCACTTAAAGACAGAGAAAATCCTATTTGACTCTCAATACGGATTTCGGGCTGGGCACAGCTGCAAACATGCTTTACTAGAAGCCCAAAACCATATTCACAGGGCACTAGAAAAAAAGCAGGTCACAGCACTGCTTCTATTGGACTACAGCAAGGCCTTTGACATGGTTGACAGCAGTATTCTTCTGAGAAAACTTGAGCACTATGGAGTTCGGGGGTTGGCTTTATCTTGGTTTCACTCATATCTAACCGATAGAGAGCAATACGTGAGCGTCAACAACTGCAAGTCCTCTCACCTCAAACTTAACTACGGAGTACCACAGGGCTCCATTCTCGGACCAATTCTGTTCATAATCTACATCAACGACCTTCCTCAGATTAGTAATTTAGCTAAACATATTTATTTCGCTGACGACGCAAACCTAATAATAAGTACAGATACATTTGAACAACTTAATGCATTGGTGAATGAGATTCTGACTTTGATAATTGATTGGGCTACTAATAACGGGCTTAAATTAAATGCTAGCAAAACTAAATATATGATCCTTACAAATAAGAAAACTAAGGATATAGAAATCTACATGGGAGGTGAGCGACTAAAGCAAAGTTATCACGAAAAGTTTCTTGGCGTGATTATTGATACTAAGCTAAATTGGGCCCACCACATTAGACATTTAGCCACTAAAGTATCTAGAAATGCGGGTATTCTCTACAAACTCAAAGGCTCAGTACCTAACAAAGCACTCAAGTTGATATACAACAGCTTTGTTCAGTCTCACTTGTACTACTGCTGCACAGTTTGGGGAACAAGATCGCTAAACTCCGTTAAAAGAGTCTTCTCGGAGCAGAAAAAGGGCATTCGCGCTGCAGATAACCAATACCACCGCTATTTTTATGACAAAGATCTGAATAGCACACCTTCACACACAAAGGAAATTTTCAATAAACTAGAAGTATTAGCTTTACCGAACGTGATAGCTAAATGTATATTATGCTTAATGCACAAAGTTTATTCTAACACTAACTGCACCACCAAATATTATAAGAATGTTCACTGTTTCAAACTTAAACGCACCTAGAAGAGAACCTGAGTTCTTTGCAGTACCATTTAACCGTTTATGTAATTCAGACAAGAGCATTTCTTACATTGGGCCTAAGTTATATAACCAAACAGTCAACATAATTAACAAGGACATAAAATATGTCACCACTTGCCTACAAGACAAATTCCTAAATTCATTCAAGTCTACAGTCAACAAGCATGTGCTTACTGCACAAGCACATAAACCGGATGACAAGGACTGGGACAACTCAAATTTCGTACTTTTGGAAATTTAAATAATTTGGTACAACATACGTTGATCATAATAACGAGCAACAAAACTTTAACCTCATAACAAAATATGACTATCTTCGAGCATTTTTTTACAATGCTATCGACACCGCGCAATTTCACTGTCATTTACAACTTTTAAAAGATAAAAATATCACCGCGCATTCTTCAGACCCTGTGTCGCTGTTCTAAATTTATGTCAAGAGATAAGAGTTATTTAAAATTCTTAATAGTACTATTTAAATTTGCTAATAGCATAATCATATTTTATACATTATTAATACTTTATACATTGTGTGCATATATTTATATTTGATTGTAATTAAAGATTTTAAGGCGTTAGTGCCGAGTAATGCCTTCGGGTAGTGCTCCTCAATCAATCACTTACAGCGTGTGTCATATCAAGCAATTGCTGTTTTCACGTGCTACTGCACTATATTAGTTTAAAATTTGTTACAATTTTCTAACTTTTGGTTTATTTCACCCGCGATCCTCCGGACTTCCGAATTTTGAGAAACCAGCGTTCAAAAATGGCTCTTACTAATTCGCTCGCCCAAAAATTTCACGTGACTTTGGTTTTTATGGTTTTGCATCCGTACAAAACGGTTTTACATAAATCCTAACCATAACCCTCACCACAACCCTAACCCTAAACAATCGAATTCGTATTTTACCAGCCTGTCACGTGACCAAAACGGTTTTTTGCCCATAACTCTCCAGGGAAGCATTTTAACCCTATACTACGTCATGGGGTGTGATTCAGAATCAGCGTCCAAAAATACACCGATTTAGATCACTTTCATGCCCAAAGGGCCTTTTCACAAGAATTTTCTTAAAATTTGGGCGAGCAATTAAGTAGGAGCGTTCAAAAATGCATCGATTCAAGTTGGTTTCAATTTTCAGATCCTTTTTAGAAAAATCTCAAAATTGGAATGTAAATTGATTTTATAGCAGACTCTCGTATAGTAGTTGTAATTGTTAATTCTAAAATTTGCATATTTGAGCAAAAACCGTATAATTATTTCACATAGCCATTGGCCATGAGTCTACACTTCAGCGCACATAGCCATGTGTCTTCGCGTACTGCGTGACGCGCTTGTTTCACAAGTAAAATAGTGTCGCGCGCTACTGCAGCATGCAAGCGAAAGGGCTTTGGTTAGAGCAATCGATTTAATTATCAAAACCTACCAATAGTATGTTAAAGTGATTCAAATCAATGTATTTTTGGACGCTGATTCCGAATCACCTTTCACGACGTAGGTTAAAAATGCTTACCTGTGACCTGGAGAGTTATGGGCGAAAAACCATTTTAGTCGCGTGGCAGGCTATAGCAGCTAGTAAAACACGAATTCGATTGTTTAATTAGGGCTCGGGTTAGTATAGGCAATAGGGTTACGGATTGTGTTAAGGGTTGGGATTAGTATAGGGTTTATGTAAAACCTTTTTGTTTGTCTGCAAAACCATAAAACCAAAGTGCAAAGTCACGTAATAATTTTTGAGCTAGCAAATTAGTAAATAATCCCATTGCCCATAAAACTAAATTTTAGTGCTAGATGGTAACATCCAACATACAATTATGAATTATAAATATACTTGATCTGCAGAGTGCAAAATAAATAAGTATGGTATCACATATCAGCTAGCGCGCTGGTATATAATTAATAATAGTAGTACACGCTGTTAAAGTCGGCCTGACCACACCACCACTCTCATTACCACAGTTGGTGAAAGAACCCAATCGCCGGGCTTTTATTTTTAGCATATCCAACCATCAAACATTATGTTACAGCTAAAAGCAGCGTATTTTGCCCCATTTTCATCACTATATCAACTCCGATATATATATATATAGATATCCACCAAATTTTTCGGACAGTTGTAAAAGCTAGTACATAGTATTACGTCGTGACCCCCATCGTCGTATCACTACCCCTGTAGAGTTTCTACGATACAGTGGGAGCCGCGCACTCGTGCGCGGCGGGTCATACAACGTATGACAAGTTTGATTGACGGTGTCAACCTATCGAGATCGTTGCTCTGCGAAGCAAGAATGCTAGTTTGCGCGGCGCGTCGAAGCGGCGAAGTCCTCCAAATTACAAGTGAAAGCCCTATTGGAAGGTCTTCACCAAGGTTATGTGTTATGGATATCTTCGGGGTTATAGTTAGGGTTAGGGTTGGGATTAGGGTTTATGTAAATTGTAAAACCGTTTTGTACGGCTGCAAAACCATAAAAACCAAAGTCACGTGAAATTTTTGGGCGAGCGAATTAGTAAAAGCCCCAATTTTCAGAATGATCTCATTCAAGAAACCAAAGATATGACAAAATAATACGACATAAATCAACGAATTTCATCAAATTACGCTGTTTCACTTTTATGCCTATTTTGCTCCAAAAGCCGCGCACAATCAAATGAAACTCACTAATTTTTCTAAAAAGGTATACAACATTTGTTGCTCTAACCAGAGCCCTCTCGCTTGCAGTAGCGCGCGACCGCCGAAGGCGCGTCACGCAGTACGTGTATACACATGGCTATGTGAACAAAATTTGGTACTGTGAAAATTCTCACAGTCTCTAGAAAACAATGGTAAACAAATTTTGAAAATCCGAGCAAGTTTATTTTATCGTGCACCCCTTAGTATGAGCCCAACCAATGACCAAGCTCATTCTCAAGGAAGACCAATATCCAGTATGAAGCCCGTCTTGATGTTGCAGCTGTCGGAGTGTATGCACCCTTTGAAAGAAAGTACTTTGACATC